TATTTATTTATTTTGGTTTTTCGAGACAGGGTTTCTCTGTGGCTTTGGAATCTGTTCTGGAACTAGCTCTTGTAGACCAGGCTGGTCTTGAACTTACAGGGATCCACCTGCCTCTGCCACCTGGAGTTCTGGGATTAAAGGCGTGCGCCACCACCACCCGGCTACATGGAGTTATTTTTAAAGAAACATTTATAGTTGAATTATACTTATGCCCTTCCCTTTCTCTATGCACTTGGTTTTGTGTCTTTTTTTTTTTTTAATTATTATTTAAAGAAAGCTGTCTTCCTCTCTCCCTCACAGTTGCCAACAGCTCCATGGCTAGTGTGTAGGATTTTCTGCCTAAACCCCATCTCCATGCTAGGATTTAGTCTGCTTGGGCTTGTACAGGTTTTGTGCAGGTTGTTGCAACTGCTGACTTCATATGTACTGCTGTGTCCAGAACACACTTTTTCCTTTTAGTAGCCTGCCACTTTTTTTACACTCTTTTGTGTCCTCTTCCTTGGTGATCCCTGAGTCTTTCGGGGGTGCAGTTCCATTTAGGGCAGAGCATTCTTCAGCCTCTTACTCCACATGGTCATGGAGTCGTTTGATAACACCTGCTTTCATTCTTATCCAGACTGTACTCTGTTCTGTGGACCCTGGTTTACACACTACTGCCTTCAAGACTACAATCCTTGATAATGTCCATAATGTAGAGCTTTCGTCTTTCTCTGATGTGCCTTTGACACAGCGCTTATGGCTTTTCATTGATGTGGTGAGCTGCCTCAGCCTGCCTTTCCTGGAAGGACAGGGCACTGCAGGGCCTTTATGTAGTATCATAGTTTATAGGTCATCTGGACTATTCTCTTTTCCGTGTCACTGCAGGCTCCATCCGTGAGGAGAACGGGGTACGGTGGCATGTGTGTCCCTACTGCACAAAGGAATTCCGGAAGCCCAGTGACCTTGTGCGACACATCCGCATTCACACCCACGAGAAGCCCTTCAAGTGTCCACAGTGTTTCCGGGCTTTTGCTGTGAAGAGCACACTGACTGCCCACATCAAAACTCACACTGGCATCAAGGCCTTCAAGTGCCAGTACTGCATGAAGAGCTTTTCCACCTCAGGGAGCCTCAAGGTGCACATCCGCCTCCACACAGGTGTGCACATGCTGGCTGGGGTGCAGGAAGTGCTGTGGTGGAGCTCTCCAAGGTCGTCTTCCCTCCCGTATTCCTCTTCCTTTTGTTGATTTGTGGGCTTGGTCCTCATGTGGTGGGAGAGGCATTAGAAAAGGAAAAGGAATATTAATAAATGAACGCATTTGCAATGGATGAAAGATTCCCATTGGAGACCAAACTTAGCTTTAGACTCGTCAAATCTTCTAAGAGAGAGAAGTATTCCACAATCTCAGGAGACCTACAGGCCTTAACTGGGGCTCCATTATTTGTAAGCAACAATGTTGGAGATTAAAAAACAAAATCATTAAGTATATAGTTGTAATTGAAACCTTTTTATTATCCCATCATACCCCAAGCTTCATAGTCACTGGCAGTCATGTACCCAGAACTCCTTTGCTGGGTTGAGGAGCCTGAAGAAGCTAAAATTGGCCTACTTTGTTATATGCTTGTCCAGGGGATCTTCATTATGAGAGGAAATAACTTTTATAGAAGGGATACCATAGTGGAGGACAATGAGGGGACAGTTGCCTTTCAGTGCTTCCTTACAAGAGACCATCTGTTGTCTGAATACTGGTGTGTGTAATCTCACCTGCCTCCCTTGAGGAGTGTCTGTTTGGTTTTATGCATGTTAATTGGGGAGACAGGACTCTTGACACTGTTTGGATTTTAAGATGACTTGTTATTTGAATGTACACATTTTACAACTTGGATTTGTCCTTAAAATAGCATATGTCCTTTCTTACTTGAAAAGCCATTGTATAGGCTAGCATCTATAATAGAACTAATTAAAAGCTAGAAAATAACTGATTCATAAAATACATGAAGTCCTAAATGTAGAACAACACGTCGCCAAGTATTTGAAGTTTTTTACATGGACGTTTTTTGTTGTTTTTGACATGTAATTCCTTGAAATAATTCTAAAATGTCCTTTTGTTTTGTTAGGAGTTAGGCCTTTTGCTTGTCCTCACTGTGATAAAAAATTCCGAACCTCAGGCCATAGGAAGACTCACATAGCTTCCCACTTTAAACACACGGAACTGAGGAAGATGAGGCACCAGCGCAAACCTGCGAAGGTTCGAGTTGGCAAGACCAGTGCTCCTGTCCCCGACATCCCTTTGCAGGAGCCAATTCTTATAACTGATTTAGGTAAGATGGATCATAGATGCTGATTGTAGATGATCTGATCATAGATGACCAGATGCTCTTCCTTTGGACCATGTGAGGGATGTATATACTCTATGTTCTATGCAGAAAATGCCTAGGCACAGTATTGATGACATCTTTATTAGAAATTGCTTTGTTGGACTAGTATGTTACACAGTTGAGATTAAATCTTAAAGTATTGCTCAAAATTCAGCTTTTGTTTTAGATAGTCAGTGTAAAAGGAAAAGTAGTCTTGTGTGAGTCCTCATTGAAGAGGTACTTCATCTCTGTGAACCCCTGAAGGTGAAGAGGGATTTAAATGGAGAACAAGTAATTATTTGTGTCTTTGGATTTCCATGTAGTTCTGGCTGCTTAGCCTTTGCATTGGGAAGAAACAGAAACTTGATCTGGTTTCTAAGTTTGTTTTACTGTCACTGATAGTATAATTAAGACATACTATGATTTTATTAGCGAGTGGCACATTCTCTGTCTGGTAAGAGCCTTCTTCCTCACAGGGGTACCATGCAGCTCTCCAGGGCCTCTTTTTCTCTTTCCTTTTTTAGCAGTTTCCTACGTGTATGCATTGTGCTCACAATCACAGCTCATTGCCGACATCTTTCATTTCTCTCCAGTTCTCACTGAGCCCCTTCTCCTCACAAGCAGCCCTCTTCTACTTCTATGTCTTTATTCTATGCAGACATTATGCAGGAAGTCATCTTTGTTGTTCATCTCTGTGTTGGGAATTGCAACACCCATGCCCTACCCAGAAGATAGTGTTTCACAGCAACCCTTCTGTCTTCCAGTTTTTATTTCCTCACCCCCCTTTTCCATGATCTTCTCTGGATCTTGGATGGGGTGTAGGTGTTGCATTTTGGCTGAGGTCTAAACAGTCACTTATTCTCATCATTTGACCAGTTATGAGTCTCTGCCTTGACCTTTGCAAGGCCTCTTTTATAAGGACACTAATTTCATTCATCAGGGCTCCACCCCAATGGCTACTCAGTCATCTCATGTACTGCTCCCTTTTCTTATTGTCACATTGTACTTAAGATTTTCAATGTAAGATTTCCGTGGGGATGCAAGCATTTGGACTGTAGCACTCATTAAGTTTTACAGGTAGATTTATGTTTTATACAGTCTCCATATTAAATAATTTTCCTATTCAAAGTAATCTGAGCTGAACAAAATCAATACCAACCATACTGTGTCTTAGTGTATATTTATAATGGTATATACATTCTTCAGTGCCAGAAGATAGCAATTGATAAATATTTCAACATAGGCATTGAAATGACAGGATTAAATAGATGATAATTCGTGACATAATTAGTATGTATTTGCTATGACACTGGAGTCTGTAGCTCATCAGAGTTCTTGTCGTTAGCTTAAGGCAAATGCCTTTGACATACTAATAATAATACTAACAATAAATTATTCCTACTTTGGATTTTTAGGTCTTATCCAACCCATTCCAAAAAACCAATTTTTCCAAAATTATTTTAATAATAATTTTGGCAACGAAGCAGATAGACCCTACAAATGTTTTTACTGTCATCGAGCATACAAAAAGTCTTGCCATCTTAAACAGCACATCAGGTAAGGTCGGAGAGGAGGTGGGGATCCAGTGCAAGCGCAGAGAGCCAGGGATCTGGGGATGAGGTGTTCAGGATGGCGTTGTTAGCTTGTGGTTAAAATGTTTGACCAAAAAAAACACTTATTTGTAATTTTTAAAATTCTTGAATATATTCATTCAAGTATTTTAGTCAGAAATTCCCCAAGTTTTATTTATATTGTAGTTATATTTAGTGTTTACAATTTCAAGCATGTTTTATTTTAATTAGAATGTTTAATTTTTTTATAACTTTTTTATTAAGTTCTCATCAGAGCTTAATTCTTGATGCTAGCATCAGTGAAAAGAAAGTAGAAAATTTGTTTCCGAGAGGTAGTGTGGTACTCTGAAAATGGAACTATATCGAAGATGCATGTTTTTGCTTCGGTGTGTGCAGCTTGGTGTCTCTGGGCGAGCACGTACCTGAGTCTCAGACTTGCTCACTCACAATGTAGAAAGTGAGATCTTACCTGTCCAAGAGTGTCATAGAGTGAAGTACCTCTGAGGTTACACCTGTTATAAATGTTTAATAAATGCACTGAGGTTTTTTCCTGCTTTGCAGATCACATACGGGTGAAAAACCTTTCAAATGTTCTCAGTGTGACAGAGGCTTCGTCTCTGCAGGAGTACTCAAAGCCCATGTTCGGACGCACACTGGACTGAAGTCCTTCAAGTGTCTGATCTGCAATGGAGCCTTCACCACAGGGGGCAGCTTACGAAGACACATGGGCATACACAACGACCTCCGCCCCTACATGTGTCCTTATTGCCAGAAGACATTTAAGACTTCACTAAACTGCAAAAAACACATGAAAACCCATAGGTAGGTATAATTCTGATGTACCTGCTGTTTAATTATCTTCATAATTCCCAGATGGTCTGGGGACCAGTTAAGAAGTAATTGTCTTTGATGCCTATATTATTATTTATTGTTCTTTCTTTTTTTAAATTGTTATTTCTAACTTGAAGTGTATTCGGTTGAGAAGTTTGGCTGTCTGTGCTTAGGATCTAATGATAGCCATAGATGACAGCATGAACTTATATGTGTATTTTTTAATGCTTTCTTTGAGCCAGGTATGATGGCTCATGCCTGTAATCTAAGGACATGAGAGGCTGAGGCAGAAGTATTGCTGCCAGTTCAAGACCAGACTGGGCTAGAGAGCGAGACTCTGTCTCCAACAATAAAAAAACCAAACCAACCCTAACACACATACTCCCTCCCTCCTTCCCTCCCTAGCTTGCTTGCTTCCTTCCTTCCTTCCTTCCTTCCTTCCTTCCTTCCTTCCTTCCTTCCAAAACAGGGTCTCACTGTGTAGCTCAAGAGGATCTCAAAGTCCTGATTGCTGGGGATTACACATGTAGATATCATCATACCCAGTCAACGTTTTGACTTTTAATGCTGAGTCAGTCTGTCTTAGGCTAAATGGCTTACTGTCTAGTCTCTTTTAGAGCTAGTAGTCAAAGGCTAACCCTAACATAGCTACATGGTGAAGATTTTTTTCTTTTCACATTTTTTTTTTTTTATTTGAATTAGAAACAAGATTGTTCTACATGACAATCCCAGTTCCTTTCTCCCTCCCGTCCTCCCCTCCCCCTCCCCCCACAACTAAAACCCTACCTATCACATATCCTTTCTGCTATTCTTCCCCTGACTCAACCTTTCTGCTCCCTCATGTCCTCAGCATCCTTCCTCTTCTTCCCTTCTCATTCTCATAGCTCCCTCCCCCCCTTCCCATGTTCTCAATTTGCTCAGGGGATGGTGACCCTTTCCCCTTCTCCAGGGGACCATGTATGTCTCTCTTAGGGTCCTCCTTGTTTCCTAGCTTCTCTGGCAGTGTGGATTGTAGACTGGTAATTCTT